TTAATGATCGGCAGCCAAAAAATTATCCACTGTATCATAGTAAAATTTGTGTTACGTATACTCTACCCTTAAATTTTTTTCATTGATTTCATTGTGTAAGTATATATTTTCGTTATATATAAACTGATCTTGATTATTTAGCACTCCCTCCTATCAACAATATATGAATTTTATTTGTAATGTATGAAATTTATTTCTTTGGATAAAAAAAAATTTCTTCATCATACCTTTTTATTTACTATGGGTTTATTAATGATTTTTTTTGCTTTGCTTGCATAGTTTAATGTCGATAAATTTGAATCTACTGGTGATATGGTGGCAATCATCGTTGTTTTGGTGTTACCACCAAAAGAATCTCTCAGTAATTGCATCAATTTGCTATCCCTTAATAATATTAATTGTTTACCCTTGTTAACAATAATTGATTAAATTTAAAAAATAATTGATATATGTGTATGTATGTGTACATTAACCTATAAGGGATATGACCATGTCCAGAATTTTCACCAAGTAAATTAATGCATCAACCAAGTGTTAACAAGCTAGTATTGATTTTTCCAGTTTCTTTTGAGCGCATGTCATTGGTACCTGTGTAGGGTTTGTATTCATGAATATCATAAGAGGGTCACACAGGGTCACACACTATTAAAATCAAGTGATCAACTCATGTTTTTAAGGGATTTTTTGCTGTTTTAATAGTGTGTAACCCCCTTAATGATATTCATGATATTCATGAATAAAAACCCTATACCTGTGAGAGCAACACATTCCGATCCTGCCAAGTCAACAAAATTCAATTTTCCAACTTTTGTCAATTTTTCATCATTTGATGGCATTTCAACTGTTACTGTAAATATTGAGTGGGAACGACTATTATTGTGATTGTGATTATTGATGATCATGATAAATCATAACAAAATGTTTATTTATAATGTTTTGATTAATGAGTATAATAATTTTTATCTGATTACTATAAAATTAAATACCTTGAATTTTTATTATAATTGGTTTCTGTGGTTTTCCTTCTAATCACCCCTTGCTTTAAAATATCAATGCCCTCACTGGCATTGTTTATATCCACCTCTTTATGATTCTTCAAACCCTTCATGGAAATTATCAATTTATCTCGATCATTATCAGATAACAGATCCTTCAATTCTTCATTATATAACTCAACATAAGATACTTTTACTGAAGAATCAATGTTAATATATTCTGATCGCAAAGTTTGAAAAAGACAGTGAAAGAAACGTGGGATTATTCCAGCATTTGTACCAATATTATAATCACCATCATTAGTACTATCACTGCTATCAATATTATTCAAATCTCCTTCCATGGTATATGTCTTACCAGTCGACGTTTGACCATATGCAAACAATGTACAATTAAACCCTTTCAGCACTTCTCCCAACATTGGATAAGCCACAGAATTTAATACCATTTGTTGATTCACATCTTTTCCAAATACGTGATCAAAAGAATAAGTTCTATATAATTGATTCAGTGGATCTAAGCATAGCACTACTTCATTATCTGTATTGCTTACAATGATGGATTCTGAGCTTTCCCCATCTACTAAATTTCTATTATTATTTTTTGAAGGGTGTGGTGAATGAAATTAATTAAAAAGTAATACATTTAAAAAATAATTTCTGCTTTCTAAAACTCACCTGCACCTTACGACCACCTTAAAGTTGTTCGTTTCGTCAATATTACCAGAATCTGTCCTTTTTTTTTTTAAAAAAATTTTTTATTTATTATGTTAGTTTTTTTTTGATAACGGGTGGACCAATCACTGCCAATGATTCTTTTAACAAATAACTAGAGTAATGACGGGTGGCGGGCAGTAACCACCACCATCCTTAAAAACACTTACCCAGCAATATCAGCTTTATCAGTTTTTTTTCTTCTTATATTGTTTTCTTTTGGCATTTTTTTTTGAGAAAAAAAATTGAAAAGAAGTTTGTGTGATCGATGTGTACACATTAATTATTTATCCTATTGGTTTTTTTTTTTGGTAAGACAGACACAAATTGATTTTTTTGATTTTTTTTTTTTGGAAAAACAATTTATTTTTTAATGGTGTCTAAGGTGACAAAACGTGAGTGTTGTTGTTTGTTTGGTTTGGGTCTCCTAAAGAATACGTGTTAATAATTAACCAGAGGTACTTTTTTTTACTTGTATTGATATATATATTTGTTGTCTTTATTGGTTATATAATGTATATTATTGGAATCAAAATGTGGAGCAGATCTTGCTGGGTAATTACAAGATTTTCATTGGTAATATATTGCTTTTCATAATTGTAATAATGATAATACTATTATTAATATATAATTACAAGATGCCAAGGCAATACACCATTGAATATGAAACATTTCAAATATGCAATGTTTGATTATTGAAAATTTACAGGTGTTGAAGCACGCACGCTGCCTTGAACACTTTACAGTCATTCTCACGTCTTCCTTGTGTACATAAGGCTAATCTGACCAAGATGCCCCCGATGATATGATGATGCTGCAGAGTTCCAGGGGGGGGGGGGTAATATGGTCCTGGAGTTTACCAAGACTGCATCAATTGTCAAAAACACTTTCACTAATCTCCCCTCACAGCACCAGGACCAGAGAAGGCTGACAAGTTGCCTGTGACCAAGTCTTAACTCTGCTGATGAATATTAAGAAAATCTGCAGCTTGTTTCAAGCACAGGAGGTCACAATTCAGGGCAGGGTTGGTGGCCCTGAAATTGCATTTGGGCTCTGATGTTAAGAGGAAAGTTGTAAAATAGTGTTTGTTTTGTAT